ATCGGGCTCTGAGATCTACTTCTTCCCTTACGGGATGCCTCCTGAAGTCTCTGGGTTCGTCGGTAAGCCCCTCGTTTCCTGGGCGTCGTGTAGATTGGGTTGAGTCCTCCTCGGATTCATCTCCCTTCCTCCGTCTGGATAAACCTCGCCGGAGGTCGTCCAGGGCCAATGGCCTTGCTTTCCTGGAATGGTTGTCAAGATGGCATTCGCCGGCTTTGGGTCGCTTCGGGGCCCTGGAGCTCTCTGCTTTGTGATCCAGGTGGTTCCTTAGATCCTTTGTCTCCGCCTCATGGACGGGGAGTCCTCGGGAGAGGAATGAATCCCTCGACCCTCCGCCTGAGGCAGCAAACTCGTCGAGCCGGCTAAGGACGTTTACATTGTCCTTCTCCAGCTGACGTAATCTATCGCCAAATTTCTCTTCAATCACCTCTGCCAGCTGACGGGCCAAGGGGGCTGATCCTCCTGACCTGATACCCATACTGGTTTGAGGGGTTACCCCCCTTGACCGAGTAGAGGCACTTTTAATCGTACTGGTGCGATCCCTCCCTCCATGTTGGCAGGGAGCTTGCAACTCATGACTCCGTTGGTGGGGTCCTTTCCCTTTCTGTCTGGTGTTCACCATGGTCACTGTTCTTTTTAGAGAAAAGATTAGGAAAACTACTCGTTTCCCACAGACGGCGCCAGATTGTGCGGGCTTGATCCTGCACGATATATAAAATATTGGGAACAGATCTCTCCCCCGGTGAACTTTGGGTGAGCCGATTGAGTGGCCAAACACACTGCTCGAAACAGCTTACGATCCTGGGAAAGGAGGAACGATCCTATACGTGCGAAAGGTATTTCCTGGGACAAAAGAGAACAAGTTAGAAGGGCGCCGGAGTGTTTTCCGGCGTATCCCCTCCGACGGTCTAGTCAGTCTTTGAATGAGAGAGAGGAAGGAGAAAATACTGAGAAGGATATTTTGTAGTAGAGAGTTTGTGATTGCATACCCGTTTGCCTTTTGGGAGGGGTATTTATACCTTAGAAGCTCATGATTGCTGTCAGTGTGGTCAGTAGGTGATCATCAGGCACTGGCAGCGTGTGTATTGATTTGACGAGGAATGTCTTCTCTAATTGACTGCTCGGGATCCCGAGCAATCAATGTTGAGTCGTCGGGACGCCGACGGTACAATATGCTCCTTTCGGGAAGGATGTAATAAATGCTCCGTAATAGGAGCATTTATTGCCTTTCATATCCGAACCTTACCGCATTGAATGCGGTCTCGTCAACAGAAGGGTGCAATTAATTGTTTGCTTCCCAAAGCGCATGTCAGCAATAGCGTGCGGTTTGCCTGTTTTTGATGTGATATCATATGCCACTCGTCCGTCACGTATTGGCTATGACTTCTGTACTCCAGCATGTTCTGACATTACTTGTGTAAGACGAGGTCATGATGAATAGTCTAGACTGGCATAGGCTGATGTCCCGTACGTCAGTAACTTTATCCGGGAGTAGAGGAAGCGTCCAGGATGGAGTGACCCTCGGCGCCGAGGAAAGGCTCACCTCGGGGGACCAAGGGGTGGTGTGTTCCCGAGGTACATGATGACCGATGACACATGTCATTGTGTACTGTACCGAATATGTGATCCTATATGAGAAATACCTCGGGGGAGAGGACGCTTTTGCCGATGGTGCTTGAACCCGAGCAGCATTGTTCTAGAAACCCCCGAGGACACGTGTCTTCACCATAGGCTTTTTCAGAAGAGTCCCATCAGGTGCATTGTGATAATTTTTAGTCATAAAAGAAGCTGGATCCCACATGAGCTGAACTAGTAATGACCAGTAGATATCAACAGAGGCATGTCAACTAAATGTAGATTAAGAGAAGTAGAGACCGAGGGGTTTCTAGCAGAATAATTAACCAGGGAGGCCGAGAATGCCTCATGTCTATGCCGAGGCTGAGATCAAAACTTTGAGTATTCGACCACCATTTGCATGATTCAAGAGCAGGAAAAGCTGTCCCGATGTTACAAGAATATTAAAGATCTTCGAGGAGTATTGAAAGGCCCTTCAAAATATGGAAGTGGGTTTTATATTTAGCATACGGCAAAACAAAGAATCAAATGAAGGTGTGAACAACTTGCAAAGAATATAGCAATACTAGTTTGGCATGTTGACTTGGAGTATATTTTTTTTAAGGAATAAACCAAGACTCTGGGTTCTTCATGCAAAAGATTTCATGGTGGGGTCATATAAGAACATTACAATGTTCTGTGTTTCTATGAGTTTAGAAGAAAGACTGAGCGGCCGAAGTAAGGACCGAACTCAATATGCTTACCAAATATAATAAACCGAGACTCATGAACAGATGATACGAGAAGATACTGAGAAGGGTATCTGGATTATGCAGAGCCCATGGACAGATGAAGATTTTGGAACGCATATCATTGTTTTCCACAGACGATGCCAAATTGTTCGGATAAAAATCTGCACAATCACTGAAAAAGTTAAAGATGAGCCCCCAATCTTTAAATATCACCCAGTCCATGAGCTGCAAGACAGAAATAGGTTAGAGAGACCCCCGACATTGAGCCAGGGGAGGCCCCTCCAATGCCTAAATCAGTATCGCGATCAATAACTGGAACAGGCGAATGTATAAATAAGAAAAATAATATAGGTGTGTGTGTGTGTGAAGTATAAAACCAAGGTGCTCATACTTGAGGCCTCCTTTTTCTTGGGTCTTCACCCATATATATAGAGAAAATTAGAGACACTTATCATCATGTACTATGTAGCAGTCAATGCAGGAAAATAGGCATGGACTAGCCTGTCAAAACACTCATTGTCTGCCATATATTTATTGTAGTAGGTCTCATTTGTGATATTTGTTAAGTCATTTATACTTCTTCCATAGGAGTGGGGCTGGTGGACTTACCCGACAAATAATGTTCCATCAAGAATATAGTAGGCCTAAATTATTTAAAGACTCAAATATAATATAAAACTTATTTTATAATCTATTTTTTGCTTGTTTTTAGTTGGATCTCTTATCCAACCTCCTCTTCTGTAACTCATCTTTAATTTTTATTAATACAAGAGTTATGTTTCCTGTCACAAAAAAGGTAAATAAATAAAGAAAAGTTGGATTGATAATCAGGGAAAGATTATCTGAAAATCACAAAATAAGGACGGATAGATGGGAACATAACTCACCTTAGAAAGGATAAATAGGGAATCACTCACCTAAAAAAAGGATTCACCTTCAACAGAGGAATCGCTCGACTCCCAAATGGAGACTCTAAGCACTCTCAATTTCACAATTTTTAGTCATCAAAACTCTCAATCCCTCATCCTATTTACAAGTATAAGTACTACTACATCTATAGATAGATATAACTAATTACTACATAGGAAATAGATGTTATTCTTGAAGCTATACTTTGATCACTGGGACTTGGTTTCCCTGAAACTCTACTATCCTGTTTGAAGTTTGTCTAGCAATATTCTCATACTTCTTGACTGTATGACTTTTTCCCACGCAGCGAATACTCATCCTCAGAGTTTTATCGTTTCGTGCTTTAGTTGTCGCTTGAACTTAACCACTCGACCTGTCCAATTTTTCACACTTGGTTGCTTGAACTTATGCTTTCGACCTATACAAAATTGAGGTGGTTTCTGCTTGAACTTGCAATGCCTCTTATGCTTCGGAGTTGGATCCCAAAAACCAAGGTTGTTAATGCGAAATAGTACCGTGCCAAGTCGCATTAGTATCGTACATATATGCCGTGAAAATGTACATCAAAAGTATTTTTGTCAATAAACTTAGACTTCTCAACTAGAGATGAAACATCATTAGATTCGTCTATATAGACCACCGTAGTACTTAACCAACAAAAGTAATTACAACACCTAAATGATTGGATTTCAATAGAGTGAAAGAAAAATTAAGAATCCTTGCACGATTTTCTCTTGATCTTTCTCATAGAAAATAATGGATAATGGAACTCACTTTGGATCTATTGGTGATCAAAACTCCATCTTCATCATATTTATTGTAGATTGGTAAAGTTTTGCAACCCTCTCAACTTTGAGGTAAATCATCATTGCAACCATCCATGAGTAATTTGCTTTGATATTTGATGATGCACAAAGTTGATTATACATGATCAAATTAGTCGAGTGTGTGATATAAAGTAATTAATGAAACAATTAATAATAAGAGACAAAAATTGGGTGGTTAGGTCTGGATGACCTAACCACTTAAGGCGGCAATGGTGACCGAAGAACTCTACTAATGAGAGAGCATAAGGTAGTAAGAGAGAGAGAGAGAGAGAGAGAGAGAGAGAGAGAGAGAGAGCAAGAGTATGCTCAAGGTAAAGTGTGTGAGATCTGCCCCCATGTGTAAGGGGTTTACAATTTATGGGTACAAAGTCCTAGCTGAGGTAGTGATGTGAGGATCAAAGTACTAGTTTATCAGGAAGGATAATTACAATTGGGGATAAACACTATCTTGGAGTCATGGCTATCCCGCTGATTGCTCTCCCACGCACTTTGACTCTTCTTGGACTCTTGAACTTTGGACTGGACTGAAATTATGAGCTAAGTTTGGTCTGTCTTTTGATGGTTTGATCTCAATCCATGAACTAGGCCCAGGCCTGGTATGAATCTGGGCTTGTCAATACTAACTTGATGCAAGTCAAAATTATTTAAGGACTCAAATATAAATAGAAGATTTGGATTGATAATCAGAGACAGAGAATATTACATGAAAATCGCAAAAATAAGGAATGACAGACGGAGAGTCACTCATCCGAAAAAGGTTAAACGGGGGCTCACTCACTTTTAAAAGAGAAATCACCCAACTCTCAAATGGATTAAATGGGGTGAGGGAGGAAGGATACTTAAGGGATCTTTTTGTATATCTAGTACGAATTCATTTCTTCCTAAAACATACTCTTGTAATAGTTGAAATACTTTTAATAGTTATGCATCCCATTGTCTTTTTTTTTTTTTTTTGCAGTACATTGGGGGGGAACTCTAGGTACAATCACCTTGGTTCCCTTACAAAAGAAATGCAAGCTAGACCAGCAAGCAAACAAGAGGAGAGACTTGTTGGTGGGTGGATTAGTTCCACCATCCCCTCGCCTAGATCCACTCCCATATTTGCCAAAATGTCATCACTTTGGTTTCCTTCCCCCAGAGTGTGCCGGACTTCATAGTTGTGGGACTTGATTATGCTCCTACAATTAGCAACAAGATGCTTGAGGGTCGCACACTCCCCTTGAAGTTCTAGGAGGAGGTTGTATGCCATATAGGAATCAGTCTCCACTATAATTCTTAGAGAGCTATCTTTGAGCAACTCCAGACCCTTGTAGATAGCCCAGAGTTCTGCTTAGAGGTTGGATGTATCATTGATTCGCCCATATCCACCTGCCTTTGTCATCCCTGAGGATTCCTCCGATACCAACAGGGCCAGGATTGCCTTTGGAGCTCCCATCCGTGTTCAATTTATACCAACCTGCAGGAAGAAATTCCTAAGAAATTAGTTTAGGTACATTGGCAACTAACTCAAGTGCCCCACTCTCATAGGCTTGGGTGATTGCCTGAGCTTGTTGCTTAATCATCTTTCTATCTTTTCAAATATTCTACAAGATGATAACAACAATTGCTTAGGGGATGTTGATGAACCCAAATCTAATCGGGTTAGACCCAATAAATCAAGATAGCTCAAATCAGTTACAAGGTGGGTCAAGTCCAATTCATGGATTGGACCTAGTTTAGAGTTCAAAGATTCTAAGAAGAATTAAAGCACATAGAGAGGAATTATCGGGATACTCCATCACGAAGATTAAGACAATTTTTTATGACAATTACCTTTTTTAGACACTTGGAGAATTAGCACATTTGCTCTCAAGTCACTGCCTTAATCAAGGCCCTATGCTTATAAATTGTAAGTCCTCTCTATATTTCTCTACACACACATAGCTTTTCTCTCTCCTAATTATTGTACTTCTCCTGGAACTAACCATTGCTCTCTCTCTCATTTACCTTACTTCATCAATAAAGGTCTCCCAGCCACTGTTGCTGTTTCCTAGAGTGGAGGAGGTCACCTAGACCAAACCACCATATATCTGTGTATTGACTCAATATTTACATTACTATTATTAATTACACCTTATCACACACTCGACTATTGATCTTGTACGAGAATATTTTGTGCATTATCATTAGGGGTGTCCATGGGCTAGGCCGGCGAAATTTTTTTTCGGGTCAGGCTTGGGTAGTGTAAACCTAAGCCCTTACCCAAGTGAGTAATCGGACGGGCCGGGCCGAACTTTGGGTAGGGGTAAGCAACCCGCAGCCCAACCCGTGAGCCTATTGGGCAGGCCTACTTGCGGGCTTTTTTATATACATATTTATTTAAAAATAATGAATATTTTTGTAACTTAACATTTGTGTAAATTATATTTTTGAATCAAAAGTAAAATCAAAATAGATAAAAATAAAATAATGAACTATATACAATAAAATGAATAAATCCCAACTAGATTGACACTTACTAACTTATCAGTCGTTTGCATTATTCTATAGTTTAAAACTTATATGCTTAATATATGGAAAAAATAATAATACATTATTTATAATATCTAAATTTTTAAAATTTTAAATTTCGATATTAGGAGAATTGTTTCAAAGTTTTAAATTTAATGGTCTAAAAATATAACTTTTTTTCAAAGGAAGGGTTGGTCTTGTGGGCGGGCTTGACGGGTGGGCTTTTGGGCCGGGTAATGGGTTTGGGGGTAAATCCAAGCCCTCTTTTTAACAATATTAGGCTTTGGCTCAGGCGGGCTAACTATAGGATCTATCGGGCTTCGGACCTATTTTTTTCGGGCTAAATAATGGGACTCATGGGTAACCCGGCTCATGGATACCCCTAATCATCATTTTGACACCATCTGTGGGAAGCGATTAAGTTTTCTACTATCTTAATACTTTCTTTCAAATATATGACAATTACGACCAGCTCAATGATTCAACAACCGGGGGATAACAACCCGGTTCGTCGGGAGGAGGCTTCGTCTTAGCCCACAATCCTATCCATGAACCACTAAGCAAAAGATGACCTGTCACATCATGACGAGGTCCCGCCATCACCAGCGAAAATTAGACACATGCAAAATCATTTTTTTTCACTAATTTTGGGTTAAAAACTCAAATTTAGAGAGAAAGAAGTATTTTTTACGAAAATTTGTTGCCCAAATTGCCTTTGCCTGTTTGTATGTTGTAGATCTTGAAAAAATATCCGAATTCAAAAAAATAATTCGCCTCAAACAGACAACCAAGCACAAAGTTATGGTCATTCAAAGTTTTACCCTTTTTTTCTTGATTTTTTGATACTCCGGTCGACGCCCCAATGCCCGCTCCCTTTCTTCTGGCGCCTCCAAGGCCACCTATGTTTCTTGGCATCACCTAGGCCTCCCTGGTGTCGCCAAGACCAGTACTAATACCAATACCAGCTAGCGCCCAGGCAGAGTCGCCTAGGCTGGTTGTTGCCCACCGCCCCTCGGCGTCCATGCCCAACGGCACCCAGCACCCCTTGACATCTGTGCCCAATAGTTAGTGCCTAGTGCCTCTTGGCATCCATGCCCAACAGTCAGTGCCCAGCGCCAATGACCCTAGACGTCGTGTAATCGACTCGAGGCGTCACGCAAGTGACCCGAGAAGTCACCTAAGCAAGGCTTCGCCCAAGCGACTCGAGGCGTCGCCCAAGGCAACCCGAAGTAATGCCTTCTCCGTCGACGTTGTGCTCAGGGCACTGCCGCCAAACAAGGCCAGTTCTTCCCTCATTGGAGTCTCCTTGTTCGGCGTCTCCAGCGCCAACGCCCAACAGTCTGCGCCCATCGACACCCATTTGTTACTTGGATAAGGATTGACTCGGGACTTAGAAACCTTATGAAACTCTACTCTGAGTATCAGGGGACTGTTGAGAAACAACGCCTCTTGGCGAGCACATCTCATCCTACAATCTAGGACTCAACGTACTAATACGACTCTACCCCAAATGTCTAGGGCATTAGTGATGAGGTCTATCATATCACAACCTGTAATTCAAGTCCATGTGGAACACCGTTTCCTGTACCATTATAAATAAAGGTTCTGAGTACCATGTATGTCATGGAATTTTAGCATATTTACCATATACTTTTTCTTTGACTTGTTTACTGACTTAAGCATCGGATTTCCTTTGGCCGCCTCCGGCCATCGATTCGCCTAGATTTTCTCTTGTCTTGCAAGTTTACCAAAACTCCCTCACCATCATCTTTGTTTGTCTAAGGTAGTCGAAATCGAGCGGGCATCAAGAATAAGAATCAACCTCTAAAACATCTGTTCTTTGGCCTCACATGGATTGTAGTGTTGAACTGATTCTTGAGCTAATTAGAATCCTTGAATTCGACCAGGGAAGTCCCAGTCGCCACCCATTCCTCAGTGCCCAACAATGCTCTCATGCAAGAATCCTATATCTCTAGATTTGCACTCTCTCGCAAGTCGCCAAGGAGCTCGGCCTAATCCTGCCTATACTCTCAAGCAGTATATATCTCTAGCTTCGCACTCTCTCACGAGTTGCCAGGAAGCTCGGCCTAATTTTACCTTTGCTTCCAAGCAGCCTCAATCTCCAACTTAGCGTCTCTCTCGCGAGTCGTCAAAAAACTTGGTCTCACTCTGCCTATACTCTCATGTACGGGAGTCCCGGGAGTTTACACCACCACAGGAATCTTGGGAGAAAGTGTCATGAGCCACTGCGCTTGCCTGCTCAGTGCATAATGCTTCCACCCACCATGTGGCAAGCCTATACACTATCCCAAGAAAGCCCGACGTCTTGGAGACAGCTCCACAAGACTTGGGGGACCATACTCTGAGACTAAAGGCGCCCGGCTCCTTTGTGCCTACTCCACGGGAGCAAGCCTCAGGAGACCATACTCCGAGACTAGAGGCGTCCGACTCCTTTGTGCCTACTCCACGAGAGCTCTCTACGCCAGCGTTACCGTCTATTGTACCATGTTGGAGACTATACATGGATGAGTCCTCCACCAGCGAGGATGATGGCTTAGAACTAGTGCTAATCAGCCCCCATGACACTCCACTCAAGTACATAGTTTCTCTCCACTTTGCAACATCCAACAGCTAAGATGAATATGAGGCCCTCAAATCAGGCTTGAAGCTCACACTGCCTGACAGCCTACAGTGACTCATAGCTGATAATCAACCAGGTAAAGCGAGGGCTTTCCTAGGCATTCGTACCCAGCGCCTAGCACCTAGGCACCCGTGCCAACCAATGCCCAGCACCCCTCTGCGTTCATACCCAGCACCCCAGCGTCATCCTTGCCCAGCGGCGGCTGTGTTACAATCTCCAACTTAGCGGCTCTCACGAGAGTCGCCAGAAAGTTTGGCTTATCTCTATTCTACTCTCAAGCAGCCATCTTATATCTTTAGCTTAGCAGCTCTCAAGAGAGTTGCCAAAAACTTGACATATCTTTGTTTCGCTCTCAAGCAAGTAAGCTATGTCTCCAGCTTAGCGGCTCTCTCGCAGGTCACCAAAAGCTTAATTTATCTCTGCTTTACTCTCAAGCAAGTAACATATGTCTCCAGCTTAGCGAATCTCATGAGAGTCACCAAATGCTTGGCCTCTCTCTATTTTGCTCTTAACCAGACAGCCTATATCTTCAGTTTAGTAACTGTCACGAGTGTCACTAAAAAGGTTGACCTATCTCTGCTTTGCTCCCAAGCAAACAGCCTATATCTCCAGGTTAGTTACTCTCTCACAGGTCACCAAAAGCTTAACCTATCTCTGTTCAGGTCTCAAGCAGACAACCTATATCTCCAGCTTAGCGACTTTCATGAGAGTCACAAAAAATTTGGTCTATCTTTGCTTCGCTCTCAAGCAAGCAACCTATGTCTCCAACTTAGTGGCTCTTTCGCAAGTAGCCAAAAGATTGACCTATTTCTGCTCTACTCTCAAGTAGGTAGTCTATGTCTCCAGCTTAGTGGCTCTCTCGCGGGTCACCAAAAGCTTGGCCTATCTTTGCTCTGCTATCAAGTAAGCAGCTTATATTTCTAGCTTAGCGGCTCTCATGAGGGTCACCAAAAGGTTGGCCTATCTTTGCTCTACTCTTAAGCAGGTAGCCTATGTCTCCAGCTTAGCAACTCTCTCACAAGTCACCAAAAGCTTGGCCTAATCCTAACTCTGCTCTGAAGCAACCATGATCTCCTAGAAGCTTGGCCTCAAGAGTTGTTGCTCTCTCATGAGCCAACCATAACTGTAACTTGGTGCCTAGGTTTCTCCTCCACCAAAGCCTCGACATTCGTTGAGTTTGAGCGTCCTCCAAAGTACAGAAAAGTCGTAGCCATCTGCAAATTTTTGAAAGCCAGAATGTCAACATTACCATGCATATAGAACAGAGGGTTCCATATAACAGCGGGGTACCATAACAAAGGCCTCTATCTCGGTATCGATGATACCCTCAAGAACCCGAGAGTTGACATCCAAGGGTGTCACAAACCTCCAAAGCCTCTCCTTAGCCAAAATTCACATCCTCCAACAGGGACACCAGGTCATTGTGTGACGCCCCAAAATCTGGGTGTCCGTAATTACCTTATTGATCACCCGTCAACCCGCAAAATACCTGTGCATACCGTATAACTCAATACCACGCCTTTATGCCCCATTTATCAGGATCCATAACTTAACAAAATTCAGGAAAAATCTCCTTTGTACGGGGAGCTCTATTCAAAATGCAACCTGTGCAATTATACAATATTGACCACACCGGGTCCATTCACCTTTACTCAATTGCATAGTTTCAGATACTACTATAATCATAATCACTACGTACATTCATTCATAAAAGAATAAATGTCTCAAAAGAGTCTAATGAACATGTCTTTTAAATATAAACAAATTTTTTGTTACAAAAATTATACAAGGCCAAAAGTATATATAAACAAGGGACTACAATGTCAAAATAAAAGCAACAGTCTGGCTCTATCGTCAAAACGGATTAGTAGGAGGGCATTCAGTGAAAGCCTGTGGTGTACCTGAAAATTGTTTCCATAAAGGGTGAGCCAATGCTCAATAGGATAACTCTTATAGAAAATACCTTTCAACCTCAATGCATATGGAATGTCGTATGCGACAATCATTTCAAGCATTCATTCAAATATGTCTATTATAAATAAATGTTATAAATTATGTCATGCCATGATATGAGACTTACGTAAGCAATACCAACATCGAGCCCTATCCCGAGCTCCCACAATACATGCAATGCTATACGTATGCATCTAGGCATTCCAAGCCCCCGTCATTGGTATTATGTACACTCAATGACTAATTAATTTATTTTCCTGTGTCTTTGTGGGGAAAAGATGTATGGTCTACACCAATGGGACATCACACCATCAATGGATTTTCAGGACATCACATATACAGCTTAGTTTTCGCTGTTAACTTTTTGGAATTGCACCACCAAAAAGTGTATAAAACAAGTAAGCGGGTCTTGTACCTGAGGGATAATCTAGTCCTTCTTGCTATACCCTGACATGTTTATCCATTTAATTTTCTATGCGACTCAGCCAGACCTTGGTGCAACTTTCTCGAGCCCATGATCAATTGATTTCATACCATGCACACATTTCCACCAATGTCAATACCCATGAATGTAATGCAACCCATGCATAATGCAATACAATGTGCAATTGCCTTTGGTACAATTTACAATGTCTATTACATAATTAATGCAATATAATGACATTTCAACACAATCCCAAACATGTTATGTACGATAATCAACTCAACTAATATATTTGTATTCACATAGGCATTTAAACAAACACTTAGAGGGCACATCAAGTTACACAACATGACAACATATTTATTACTTCCAACATGACAATATGTTTATTAATTCTATAAATATAAATACAAATCCACTACACTAATTATATGTTAAATAATCATTTAACATACATATTATTTCATAATCATATAACAAGTTAATAATTTTATTAAACTTGATATGTCATTAAAACATCAAGTCGTGCTAATGTACAATTAACATACTTTAAACCAGTAACATTAACTTACACCAAGTTAATTATAAAAAGATTTTACTAATTACAAGGTTAATTATAAATCCTATATTTGACCCTCTAGTTACACTAGTCAAGACCTAACATGTGATATACACCCTTAACCTACCCATTTCATATGTCATATTTTAGGTAGAAATTACATCTAAATAGGGGAAACCTTACCTCTCGTAGCATGAGCCCACGTAGTAGACCTCCAAGGAAAGCCCGAATTTAGCTTTTCAAGCCTTAGACCAAGATTCTCGTCTTTGATATTTTTGGAGAAAAATACGATCTTTGGTGTAGTTGCGTAACTCTCGTTGCATAGAACAACTTTAATTCTTGGCCCGAAGCGATTAAACGATTTAATTTTCGTAAATCTGAGAAAGAAGATCAGGATGTCTACCTTTTTTTCCTTTTCTTTTTTCTCTCTTTTCTATCTCTCAGTCTCGCTGACCTCTGGAGAAGAAAAATAAAAGTGGAAGACATTCTAAATAGCCTAAATTTTTGTGGCCCACATTGCGTCACACGTATTTTTTTAAACGGATCCAATTTTTATTTCGAATAAATTAAATTTCATCCCATGTTAAATTTAATATTTTTTTATTGAATTAATTTTAAATTATTTTATAGATCTTGCGAATAAAATTTAATCGCAATTATTTTAGTCACTCGATACCCGATCACTTTGTAACACTTGAAAAATTCAATTGTTTGAGAATTTTAAATGTACTGGGTAACTAGATTTCACGAGACGAATCCAGCGATGAGGTCCGTTTCGTTATCTGAATTTTATAAAAATTCACGTTTTTGACTCGTGCTTTAACAATTAATTATTATTTTACCCCTTTAATTAGGATTTTAATTTTTTTTTCAGGTTTTACACATTGCTAG